CCCCCCCCCAAGCTATCTGTCTCTCCCCCATTAACTCCGATCCCCTCTGATCTTCCTGGCCATGCAGTTGCATTTTCACAGCCTGCATTTTGCATATTGGCTTAAGCTTCTATTTGACTGGAGAGAGAACACCAACAGACTCTCCCTATGCCTGAAGAAGGGTGCCTGTGCCCGAAAGCTTGCAAAGAATTTTTTTTCCAACTATTCAGTTGGTTTAATAAAAGATATCGCATTTACCCAAATAACCTGGTCTGCCAGCGAAACAATTGGGTATTGTAAAAACAACCATAAAAGATGAAAGGAATAGTACCTAATGACGAGTTTAGGTTTCCATTGGCATATGATCTTGGTGTCTAATGCATTAGAAGACCATATAGCCGAAGCGTTAAGAATAGATTGTGTAAACAACTACATTGATGAATAAAATGTTTTAAATCAGAGCAGTGTACTGATAAAATATGGTTTCTTATCATCATTACATTATCCTTACCCTCGTGTTTTTCCAGTCTGCATGTTGATTACAGTTTATTTCCCAGGGAGGAGAAGTAGTCTTTAACTAATGATTATCTTGTGCAGCACATTCTACCAAATCAGACAGATGCATTTTTCCATGCATCCCCTTGAATACAGGAAATGGAAATATTACTAGAACACCTGTTGACTTTTTTTTTTCTTTCCCTCTGAGTAATTTTCTTCCTATAATATTAGGGTTTGAATTTTAAAAAGTCGTAGCAGGCAATGATGGTTAATTTATAATTTGTACTTGGCACTGGATTTTAGTACAAGCCTCAATAATTTTAAGTACTGATTGGAACAGAAGAGTTGGATAGACTGAGTTATGGGCTGATAATGTTTAAAATAGCAGAACTTTCAGTTATCAGTTTTTAATTGTTTGCCAGCTGTTAAGTACACTTTATGGCGATCGCTTCTTTCCGTCTCTGTCTCTTTTAACCCATAAACTATTTGAGGTTGTGATTGATTGTACTGTGCCTTGCACAGGGGTCCTGTGATCTTAATAGAGTTTAGCTCTGATTGATTGTAATATAGAAAGTATGTACAATTTAATCTGGAAAATCTGCACTCAGAACAGGGCTCTCTGGGAAACATTTTTTTAAAATTATTTTTAACCATTAAAAAGAGAGCCATCATTTCTTTTGGCAAAGTTTATGGGAACTGGTATTGTTTAAGTAGAAGAGTACTCCTGAAGGTTTTGAATACTTTATTTCTTGTATCTCACCTGCACCTTTTCCCCCAAAACCAGCTGGGGAAAATTGGGGGTGCACACTATATGCAAGGAAAAGGGATTTGCACAGGTCAGGAAATTTGGTGGAGGGGAGTGGTTCTGGGAATTAGCGCTGCTACTGTTCCTTTTCTTTCTCCCTTTTCATACCAAATTTCCATACTCATGGGGATCCCACCACCAGTGCACTGAATTGGGCACAGGGTTGGTCCATGGCCTGAACCTGGCATGCTGGAGTCCATGACGACACATACTGGTTCTGGGGCTCTGTGCTGGGTTGGATCTGGCACATAACTCCAGAGTCAAGTACATGACTGGAGCCAGTGTGTGGCCTTGGACTCAGCATGCGAGGTCAGAGCTGGTACACAAGGTCAGTCCCAGCATGTGCCCCTGGAGCTGGTGTGTAGGATCAGATTTGGTGCATGGCTAGGCATGCCGAGTCCAGTCCAACATGGTTACGGATTCAGTGTGTGGTCCCAAATTCAGTGTGCTAGGTTCAACCAGCCTTAGCCAGTATGAAGGGTCAGACCTGGTGCTTGGCTCAGGGTGTGTATTATATCCAGGAGCATGGTGTATATGAGAGTATATGGTATATATTCCAGAGATAGTAAGCTTTTAAAAAATAATTCAGAAAACGTGTTCATAGAACTTTTGCATGCCATTCCAGTTCTGATACACTCCATTGGTTCCTGTTTCAGACTTTCAGAGCCCAGGCTGAGAGTGCTAAGCTAGTAGTTAAAACCTTGAACCTCTCTACCTCATCACCAGGGATCCGGGTTTTTTGTTTCCATGTAGAAAAATGCTGGTTTTCCTTTTTAAAGTAGAAAATCACAGATTTTTTTCCTTTGAAGGAGAGAAATGCAAATTTTCTTAATTGAAGCAGGAAACAGCAGGTTTTCTCTTGCAGACCTGGAGCTTTCTAGCCTACGAGCAGTTCTTTGGGCCTCAGGGGAGTGGGGGAAGAGTGAATGGAGGCAGGGGACACCACAAGCATGTGCACATGCACGTGGTTGACATACAACCAGGCAGGATGGTGGGAGAAGTTCCAGTTGTTGGATACCGATAAATCTATGGAATGGGGGTAGAGGTGGAGGGCTAGAGCAGGGGGTGTCCAACCTTTTTGAATGTGGGGCTGGATCATGAACTTTTTATCACCCAGTTGGCCGGCGAGCCATATTCAAAGACCTCACAGGAAGTGGCATCACATCACCCCCCTCGAAATGAAAGTATAGTGTTTACTTTTGTTTTCCATCGCAGCACCTCGGGCCTCAGAAAACGGCTTGGAGGGCCATATGTTGAACAATCCTGGGCTAGAGCTTGAGGACTGTCCGGGGGGGGGAGGACATGCGCATGTGTGTGTGCCTGGGTGGGGAGGACATGCACGTGTGTGTGCCTGTGGGTACCTACCGGCACTGGCGGAAGGAGTCTGGGTTCTGGGGCCATGACAGGGCAAGGTGGGGTCTGACACAGTGTTCAGCGTGGCCAGTGAGCCCAGATCAGCATTGTTCCTAGGGGGATCTGCCTGGAGGCGCCTGCCCCTCCAGCAGGGAAGGGGGTGGTGGGAAGCTGTGTGGCCGGAAGCGCAGGCAGTGGCCGGGGGCACCACACTGCCCCACTGCTGGGTGGGGCTGGAGCTGAGGATGCAGCATGGCAGGGAGGATCAGAAGTGTGGTTCTGGCCCTGGCCATTTTGCAGGGAGCTAGAGGAGGGTGAAGGACTCCAGGCAATCTCCTGCCCTCAGTGGCTGTGGTAACCCCTGCTCAAGGAGAGAGCAGCAGAGCGAGTCCGGCTCTGGCACAGGCTGGAGGGAAAAAGAGGAGACACCAGGTGGCACCGCCTTGCCCTAGCATGTGGCTTCTTCACCATGCCAAACCGACTGGCCATAAGCCCCCCCGGGCTGCGTCTCCCAGCTGCACGTGGCCACCCCTGCCCCTGAGAGCATGGGTACCTCCCCACAGTGGCCTGGCTACACAGCTCCCCACCATCCCCAAAGGACACCCCCTACTCCCTTCCCCCACTGGCATCCTGTGAGTCTGCATGGGACTGGCTGGGGTGGGGAGCAGCTAGGGACCCCCTCTGGCAGGGCTGGGGGCGGGCAAGGGGCTGTGGGTCAGGAGTGAGGGGCACCAGCAGGGCTGTGAAGGGAGGGGGAGGAACTTAGGGTTGGGAGTGAGGGGCACTGGCAGGGCCAGGGCTGGGGGACTGTGGCTTGGGAGTGAGGGGCACCAGTATATCAGGGCTGCTCA